TCTTCCATGCTGACTCATGGAGAAAAATGATATTTAGTTAGAAATGTAATAAGAATTAGACAAGACAGGTTATTCCTTCAACTCAAAGAATGTGACCTCTAGGGCCACATCCCCATGAGCAAGGGCATGAGGTTGCCAAGGGGAAAAAAGCAGCAGCGGAAATCTGTGCCACTACTTTTTGCCTCAGCACGTGCCCCCGCACATGAGGTTAACATGGGGAAAAATGCCCTGGGTGAGGTAGGGGAGGCTGGGGCCAACACCTGGGCTGGCCCCAGCAGCCTCATGTAGTGGCCCCAGTCTTGGCACATGGAATCTGGCCAGCAGCCAGAGCATGGCTCTGGCCAGCCAGGCACTGGTTTCAGGTGTCACATGCTGCTGCCATGTGCACTGCCTCGTTTTTCCTTGTGCTTTTTTTTATATCGTAATTTCCCAGTATCCAAATTTGGCTCTGGGCTGCAAATATACAGCACAGAAAACCAAATCACGTGTGTGAGGTGCATTTTGCAGCACCTCAAAACTCATGTGCATGCTTGAATGGACACGGCCTAAAGCCATGTCCAGACATGCATGGGCATTTGGTTCCCTGAGGACAACTAGCGGCAGCACACCTTGTGCCTCCACTACTTGGCCCCAGGGAACATCTGTGCCATGCGTACTCTGGCATGCGGCAAATTACCCCAGACGTGGTAGGGGAGGCTGAGGACAACACTATGCTGGCCCCAAAAGCCTTAGCTGGGGTCCTGCTCAGGGTGGGCATTTATTTTGGCCAGAGGGCAACTTGAGGAGTTTGGGTAAGCTGATGCAGTGAGGTGGGGGGGGGCGTTGCTGAACCTGTCTGCAACAGCTCACCCAAACTCCCTAAGTGGCCCTCTGGCCCAAATAATTGCCCATCCATGCCCTAAGAATAGGGAGAAATATTTTGGACTGAGGGCCTAAATTGTTTTTGTTCAAGATTCTAGATACGGTGCCATTTTTCAGAACTCTGAAGCCAAAAAAAGTAAATAACCATGTTATAATGTAACTCTCCAAAGGTATCATTTGAAGTACTACGCAGCCAGGACCCCACAGAGTCCATGACACCTACCAAAAATGCACTCCTTATGGCTGAAAAAGGCTCAGGAATGTCAGTTATATTTTAATATTAAGTTTCTGACCCTTGTAGTTACAAAGATAACCTCAGAAATATGAAGTGAATACGACTGCAAAGAGCCTGAAACAATGGCTCTTGGAGGTAAAAGTGTATTTATTCATCTTAGTGAAGACTTGATAGAATGTGAGCTTGCAAAAGCATTGGCATTCTGCCAAGTATTCACTAAACCCTGTATTCTTGCAGCAGAATATATCTGTGTGCAAAAGCAGGACTCTAGCATTTTGGGTTTTTTTCTCTCTCTTCTCTGGCAGGGCCTGTTGGCAACTGTTTCTTGCTCTGCACCTTTCCCCAACAAGGGAAATTTCTCCCTTCACTTTTCAACAAGACCAAAATGGGAAATAGGGAGTTAGAGCTATCACCTAGCTTATAACCAGGTAGCCAGAAGGGAAGGCAGCCAGATGGGTTATGTAAAACAGGGCTGTCCAACTGGTGGCCCTGACTGGGCAGGCAGAGAT